TGGTCAAGAAGATGTCCTTGCCGGAGAGTGCCAAGGACTTGGACGCTAGGTCCATGCCGCGAGTGTTGTCGGACAACTTGTTCGTCGAGAGCACCTCCGGCCTCACTGAACAAGAAGTGCGGAGCGCAGTGAGCACGTGGCTTAGTGTAGAGGACGATGAAGAGGTCTTGAGGGAAGAGGTAGAACTCGAGATGGAAGAGGTAACGGAGAACATGTCAAGAGTACACGTCGAAGACGACGTGTCCAGTGAAGAGGAAGACCAGGACGGTAGGCAAGAGTCGTGCGTGACATCTACGATTTCAGAGGCCGAGGTTCGCCCTCGTCTCGAGGATGTCCGCTCCTATTTGTACGCGAACGGAAGAGACGGCGAGTACAGCGAAACGGTGTACCTTCTTTCGAAGACTGTGCATTCGTTCACTCATGAAACTCAAGTCAAGCGAAGAACGAAGGAGGGGGGTGAGGTGCAGGCGACTCTTCGGGATGTGTGGGCGACGTAGTTTTTGGTGTTTGAGGACAACACACTTGGCAGCCCACATTCATTGTTTGGGATTTTTTTGCCTTTCTCGTGGAGTTAAATTTTGGCATTTTTTGTTTTGTGTTTTTGCCTCGTGTTGACCTTTGGGGAAGAGCGGTGTTCTCTTTTCGGTGGGTTTGCCCGATTTTCTGTATGTTGTGGTCTGCGCTACCGACCGTTTCCTAGTGTCCCTCAGGTCCCTCTAAGGGGTCGACTGGGTTTGTTTGGTCCCTATGTGGCAGGGAACTTGCGTGTATCGTATCAGAGCTAGTTCCAACAAACTGATGTGTCTCAGGTGTGTTCGCGATATCACGGGCATGATGTTCACCGTGAGGACAACGCCTTGACAATAAGAAAAGCCTACAACAACACCAGCGCACACTGCCGTACACATTACAATAGGTCGTGCTGTACTCCTTCCCGCGTTTCGGTGGTGGAGGGAAATTCAAAAATGTGTACAGTATTGGAGTACAGCAGCAGTAGTGTTGCGGCCTTCAATTGACGTGTTGTCGCAGTTTTTAAGCAGCACAATTTCGTGGTCGCATTCCTGCTTCAAATGCGCGTATTTTGACACATGTTACACCTCCATTGACCCCGGGGACGGTGAGTTAGTGGCCCCGGAATCCTAAAGACACTTCCCCGCGTTAAAGACACTAAAAAAAAAACGCGGTGTGTCTTTAAAGCGGGGTCGACTGTATATTAATGTTATACTTGGTATTCGGGTTCTATTTATGACCCAATTACCCAATCCAATGCAGAGCGATGTGGCTCTACACTAACGGTTTTTGTGCTAGGTTCGAGGTTCTTGTCAGTGGGTTGCTCTACGTCTCGGACGGATGTCGCCGTAGATGCTAGTGCAAAGACTCAAAGACCGGGGATGATGGATGATGCTTTTGAAGAGGAAACTTTGTCGTTGATCCTGCTCGCTGCTGCACTCAACTCAACTGACTCAAGCCGATCAACACTGCTGCTGCTCGACCGTACTTCTGCACTCCCTTGCTGGAACCAACCACCGCTTCGAACTCTGTCAACGCACTGGTAACCGGATACTCAAGCTCGCCTTCTGCTCCTTGCCCTGGTAGACTAGTCTGAATTCATGAGCGGCAGCGCTTCTGCTGCTGCTGCGCAACATCCTTCGCGTACGTCCACAGAAATATGCCAATTCCGCCGCAAAGCGGGGACCGATCCCAAACATCCCCTGAAGCGAGCCTACTTCGTACCACATTCCCCCACACTGCCTTTTGACATGGTGGGAAATTTTCACTATGTCCAAAAGTAATCCACAACGTCATGATTTCCTCTGAGAGAATTTAGCATGAAGTACTCTTTTCCACACTGGAACTGGTATATTCTCGCTCGCGGCCGCCCTTATCTGGCGACAAAATTGATAACACATATCCTTCTTGAAAATGGCACAAGTAGTACTTAATAAGCCATGGGATTCGATTTATCTTCAGCAGGGACCCGATTTTCAACTCAACGAGATCAAGCGTTCGTCAACCTTTCCGGTCCGAGGGACCCCACACAAACCACCACACACAAATTCCAAGAGAATTTTTCCTCCTACCATCTGCCGTCAAGATACCCACTTTGCCCCGTGCCGCGCTGCCGTCTTTTGGAAACGACAGCCGGCACCATCCCCAAAAATCCCGGCTCAACAATCTTTACCTGACTTGCTAATACCCGATAACTACGAATGCTACTGAACGAAAGCATTTTTGTTCCCGCAAGAAACTCGCCGTACTCACCCCACAGAAAGGCGGCAACGAACCCCTGTGACTCCCCTCAATCGGACATTTGACTGTTGAAATCGGCGCTACCCGACGGTGCAGACCGACCCCAAAAAAGACTCCCAACAACTAAATCAATCGCTTCACGTCGTTTTGTATCTCACACCCCGGCTTTAAAAAGCTGTGAAATCCACCCGAGACACATACATCGACGATCTCCCCACGCGTGTCGGATATACGCGCACTCTCCCAACGCAAGGCTGAAGCTGAAGCTGATTGTATTTTTTTTTACATATACACAGCACATTGACAACGACAAACATAGACACAGCACATTGACAAGGACAAACACAGACACAGCACTTGACAAGGACAACAGCACTTTGACATCGCCACAGCACATTATCAGCTTCAGCTTCAGCTTCCTTGCGGAACATTTTTCACAGGAGAGCAGACCTTTGGCGGTCTTAGGGGAAAAAGAAAAGCCAACGAACCTTACTGTATTGCCTACCCTGGAACTCCAAAGTTCACCGAAGAATGATTACCATGAAAACGATATCATCGCGTTGCAAAAGAGCTTCAAAAGCTTCCTGCCCTAAATTGGTAGAACCACAACGGCCCGTTGACCCCCCCATCCTAGAAGTAACGCACGACGACACTCCCTTCGAGGACTCAAATACTCCCGGACTTCGCACCCGCGATGACCAAGGCACAAACAAACCACCCGAAAATTTGAATCGAAATTCCTTGAGGCGGGGCAGCCCACCAACGTTTCAGCAAAAACTCTCAAGTTTCTACCGAACACAGGCTATTTTTGAATGGCCGGTGCCTCTCCCCCCCATCCTCCCGAAAAAGGACGACACGTCGCTACCAAGACCTCAAAGCCAAACAGCAACAAGCGACACACCACACCGGAAAAAAAAACATCGTCGGCATCAGAACACCAAAGACAAAAAAATCCGGAACACACAGCACGCGGAAAGAAAATTGTGACGATGTCGTTCGTCTCGCGTTCTCCTTCCGTCGTGAAAACGTTGTTCCGCGAGGCTCCGAATTGCTCTCCGCCTCCACCTGGACAAATCCTCGACGGGCCGTGTCGCTCTCCCCACCACCACGAAAATCCGACCTCCACAGCGCTCCCCGACCACCACGACGCACCCTCCTCCACAGCGCTCCCCGACCACCACGGCGAAACATCCACCACAGCGCACCCCGACCACCACGACGAAACCTCCACCTCAGCGCACCCGTCAGGTCCCGTTCCGCCGGACGCTCCTGGATCGTACGTGCACAAGGAAGCACCACGATCCAGGCGGACCATCCACCGCCGTACAATATTTCGTCGGCGACAACGACACGTTGAAACGCCGCTCGAGGTCGACGAATTTGACGTTGTACGGCAGGTCCCCCTCCCGCGCCCTCGTAACCTGATGTACCACTCCTAGTTGCCAGCCCTCCTGCTTCGTTCGCACGTAAACATGCGCTCCTTTCATCTCCGCCGACAGCAGGGCCGGCCCACGCTCCCACGTCGCCAGTAACGCGTACCCTGGTGGCACATAAAGGGAATTGCGGCAGCGAGCTTGCGCGCGGTGCGCGGCAAGTTTATTATAGTCACGGTGCACTTTATTGTCGGCTCCTACTTGACGCACTGCACTGCCCACCCAATACTTCACGACAAAGTCACCATACTGCTGGATGTTTGCTTCAGATTCCCAAGTGGGTTGGCGGTGTCCGCGCCAACGCGTTTCGTATTGCACCGCGATGGAACCCCCTGGACCTCTACTGATACGGTGACCGGTGATAGCGGTCGGCTGTGCCCGCTGTACGTCAAGCTCTATTTCCACGTCATCCGCGGTGAGGTAGAAGGGAGGCGCCATGTCCGCAAATTTATGCAAGACGTAAGAACAAAACTTCCAAGGTAAAAAGTCGGGGATTTCCTCGGGCTCGTCCGCACGATCGCAACGCTTACACCGCAACACTGAGACACGGTTAGATTTGGCCTGTGTGTCGTGCGGTAAATCCAGATACAGTAACTTGGACCCAACTTCCATGTCGTTGAAGCGACAGGGCCCTACAACGAGCACTTTAAACGGCTCTGTCCACAGGGTAGCGAGTTTCGCTTTAATCCTATTGGCAGAAGCTGTTTTATCGTCATTCGCTGTACGGAGGGTGTGCTGTGGATCGTAGCACCACACCCACGTGCCCGCGTGGAAAATCGGCCGCTTCGTAATGAGGTTGTCTAGATCTTCGTTGCGTGCTCGATGTTTTTCTTTCGTGAGCCTGTCTCTTTCAACCACTAGCTCGTAGGCTGTCGCTTGCCGGTCTTTCATGAGCTGGAGGTATTCGAGATCATCCCGTTTTTTCGATTGCATACCAGAATCCACCTTCTGTGACCCAAGAACCGTCATGGGTCAACGAGGATACCGGCCAATATGTACTTACATGGGCGCAAGACCGGTAGCTTTGCTCACGTGATTGTTGTGAGCGTACACACACGGCAAGAGATGGTCGTCCCAATCGGTTTGTTGGGCGCTGAGCACATGAGACAACATCTGGCAGACGGTATGGTTTAATCTTTCGACGCACCCGTTGGTTTGAGGGTGGAATGAGCTGGTAAACCGTTCCTTGGCCCCAAGCAATCGGTACACATCACGCGCAACAGCCGCCGTGAACTCGCCACCTCTATCCGACAACAAATACACCGGACGTCCCCAACGCGTACAATAATCGTTCTTGGAGCCCGTAGATCCGTTGACCGCCGATGAAGTCGCACAGGACCAGTGGAATCTGGCTGTCCGATCTCGTCAACGCGGCGTCAGTACCGTCAGGTATCAGGCGCCGCGGGTCCTCGCTATTAACCCGTCTCCCGTCCCTAGTTCCGCCCCCGTTTCCCATCGTACTTTCAGTGGTCAGTTTCAATCAGGTGTTCTGCTGCACACGTGCTCGGTATTTCCGGCCACCCCGGTGTTGCCGGTCTCCACCCGCTCCGCTAGGGCCGTGCCTCGGTCACCTCGTGCCCGAGCAAGCCGTCGTCCTTCCTGGAAGATTCGAGAACGGGAGGAGGCACCTGAGTCCGCCGCTGCCACCGCTGCGCCGGCTAGCGGCGGTGCTTCGGCCTCACGTCCGGCGCGTCGTGCCGCCGCCCGGGGTCCGACACCACCGTCCCGGACGGGCCCCGTGGAGGACACACCGGCTCCTAGCGGGGCCGGTCGCCGTCACCGGCGCCAGAGAACGCCTCCCCCAGCCGACCCCGCGGTGGAACAACCGGCTCCTCGCGGGGCCGGTCGTCGCGCCCGGCGTCCAGCCGCGCCGACGCCCGCTACGGCTGGCACGGCACCTGAGGACCCGCGCCGAGTCTCAGCTTCGACACCTGAGGGGCCCCGAGATCGTCCATCGAGATCGAGACGAGCCGCTGCCGCCCGCCGTTCCCCGTCGGCCGCCGCCCAGCGCCCAACCTTCGCTACCGACGCGCGCGTCGAGTCGACTTGTCGATTCGGGGCGCGGTTGTGCGACAGGACCGACCTCGAGTGGGCCTCCGAGCAAGCGCGAGATCCCCTGGCGTCTTACGTCATCAAGTACGTGGGTGATTCTGACTCTTTCAGTTTTCCCGATATGGGCGATTGTATTGGGGATGAGGGTACCATCACTCTTAAAAGGATTCAGAAGTTGGCGG